GTTGATAATGGAAGGGTGCGTCCGCCTGCGCTAACGGTTTATGTTGACGGGGCACCAGTGGAGGATGATAAGATGAGCATGAAATCAGGTCACCATCGTAACAAATTTACCAGAAACTTATCAGGATGATTTCCAGGGGAAACCATGTTATAATAATAGAAATATAGTTATTCTTTATTTAAATAAACTTAATATAAGTACTATTGAATACCCATACAATAAATACCTACTACTGTAAGTAATAATAACAATATGCAGAACGATTCACATAGCTCTATCTAGTCCCAAGTTAAGCAGAACTGGTGTTATAAGTACTTGACAACTCATATAAATACTTAAATGCATTATTTTGTAACTACCTACATAATACACATAAGAAATAACCGGACAAATAGATTATTTCATACTTATGAATACAAATATTTGTACTGTGCGGGGAATTTAACCCGCGATCATCAAAAATAAAGTGTGCTAAACCACGAGACCATCGAGGTAGGTATGTAATTCTCCAATTACAATGAACTTTATTGCATTAAGTTCAGAAAAATACACGTTAACAAAACCATGTTACCGCCTTTCGTTTTCGTCCGAAATCACTGCGGCTGGTGCAACGCGGAACACTAATTAACTAATATCTGGAGCAAACGATGAGAACGCCGACTGTCGAGATAAATTAATTCGTTACATGCCATATTATAATTTTAAAAACATACTGACCAATTACAATGTGGTCTAGTGGTTTAGCACACCGCTTTACTTCCGATGATCATGGATTCGAGTCCACGCTTGGTACAAACATTTGTATTCATGAGTATGGTTATTGAATCGCTCTGGGTGTTTTCAATATATATTATGTATCTATTTATAAAAAAATGAATTTTTGTAATGATGATAATGGAACGGTGCATCCGCCTACGCTAGGGGTTTACGCTGGTGGAGCACCAGTGGAGAATGATAAAATGAACATGAGGTAAGGTCAGTCAGCCCATCGTGAAAAATTCACTAGGAATTTATCACGTTGTTATTGTTGTTATTTTACACTATATGGACAAGAATATAGAGCTATAACTTTTACGTAATATATAGCTTTTCACTCGGGTTCTGAAGATCGTAGCGTGATGTTAAATAACCTATAACATTTCAAGTCTCTTAAATAAATAAACATTTTTATCCTAATTCTACTGGTAACTTTCAAGAAAAGATTCCCAACCAATTAGCAATTATTTTATTTATTCATACGTTAACTTATTGTTTAATAATTTATTATTTAATTTTATTATAAGTACCAATTTATTTATAAATAGAACTACACAAAATGGCTCGTAAAAAATGCTGTTACTCTTTGGGAGAATTGACTTAAATTTTAATCTTCTGTATTTGTTAATCATTAAGAATCGTAATTCGCATGCCTCCTGAATATGACGTGAACATTTGTACCTGAACACTTGTAAGATCTATACTGTAAATATTCAAGCAAATAAATTAACTGTCTATCTATCTAAATACATAATATTATAAAGAACTCAAAATATAGTGGATATTAAAATCCCCTGCTTGTATAAACACTACTAAAAGACACAATATCTACCATTTTACAATCACGACTCGCCTTTCCAAACATTGCGAAAGAGTTCCGTGCAAATGCAATTATAAACACGAAGTTTTAAAGACAATTGCTATTAATTACGTATGTAGCCACTTACTCATAAATACCGGAATTATAAGTATCATTGTAATCGTACAACTGAAGATTTTCATATGAAATCCTTCCCCATTTTGACAAAATTATGAACTCAAATAAATCGTATGGACTGGAACACTTAAAAATTCGAATAAGATGATGTTGCTTCTACATAAAATAATGGGATAAAGGCAATGATGCTGATAATAATAATGATAGTTATAACTTACTATTCCTCCTTTTAAAACTTGCTTGAAAAGAATACACTCGTCACGAGTATATGCGTGCAATGTTTTGCGGGTTAATTTTTAGAAGGATCTAATTGTCTCTCACGTATAGTAAATAACAATTAGATCCTAATGTAAATTATTACAATTAGTAATTATTATACAAACTGTATGTAGAATAATACTAAAGAGTTGTACCCTGTCAGGTTGACCTTCACACAGTTTCCCCTGGAAATCAATGGGATAAATTCCTCATGAAATTACCACGGTGGGCTAACTGACCTGACCTCATGGTTATCTTATTATCTCTGGTGCCCCGCCAGCGTAAACAGTTAGCACAGACAAGTACACCATTCCATTATTATCCATTGAGAAAAAATAGTAGAGGGTTGAAATAACAGTACCGTTAGTATTTTAGCGCAAGAGGGTGTTTACCTTTAAATAACATTATTACGTCGAGCCAAGTAGTTCAGTTATTAGCGGTGCGTAGAATTTATATAAATTGAGGTACTTACGTCATCTATTTCTATCTGTGTCTGTGGTTGGCATGGTGATTATTGTGGTTAAGAGTTAGCAATTACATCGCATATGTAACATACGTGTGTATTCAGTATTCACAGACGCAAGAGATGCGCATTGTGTATGTTACGTAGAAACTGCTGCAATTCTAAACCCCAATAGTAATTAAATTATAATTATATAGGTACTGTTTTAAATTTGATTCGGTTATTATATATATTCCTAGATGAATAACGAGCGAGTTTCAATATCAGCAACAAATGATGATGAATTTCAGCCACACTCTTAAGAAGCGACAACTTTTTTGATCGAATTCCAACGATCATTTCTTATTATTCAAATTATTTTTTACTTACTTATACACCTACATTATGACAAACCTTGTTGTCAAAATTAGCTTTTATAATAAGGGTAGCTTACTGTATACCTATAATCATCATCTGCTTCTTTCTTAAGTCGTTCATTTGGGATTGACGTAATTTGATTTTCTCTTCCATTCATCCCTGTGCGCAGTCATTTCGTTATTTACTTCCTTTCTTGCCATATCATCTTTCACACAGTTTATCCATCGTCTTTTTGGTCTTCTTCTGCCCTATAAAGCACTTTTATATTTGTAGTTATTAAAATAAATATTCAAAAGGAAGAGAAAGATTTATACTGAAGAGGGTCGGGATCACCATAACTACATAAAGTAACATAAGTATATTCGTACGTAATACATCAGACAGGTCGTGTGGTCACGACGACTGCTTGCGAGATTGATAGGACCCCATCCTACAGTGTGGTTACATAGTACAGGAAATGTATTGAAGTGCATCGTTACTCATACATACAACATGAAAGTATAATAATCAAGAATATATGAATTCTCAGAATAGGTACCAACATCATAAACCTATCAGCATACGATTTCTAGGAAATCCGTTGTCGTTCTAAATTATCTAATGCTATGTGTGGATTTTTTTGCAAGAATTATCGGTGATTAGTGTAAACGTTGATTAAACTTGGGAATATTTTGTATATATGTATGCAAGATATTGATTTATTTCTCTAAAAAGTGATGTATATAACCCTAACACTAGACTCAAATATAAACTTGCAGACAGCAGGATATGAGCATTAAATTCTATAATACAACACCAAAAGATATCAAGGTACAAGGATACGGTCGAGTCCCAAACAGTTACAGACTCTATTCTTTTACAGAGTAATATGCATTATTTTATAAATATTTTTTAAATAAATTGTATTAATTTAACGGTAAATTTTTTTACCGTTGAATGAATACAATTTATACTACTAAAATTACTCTTTAGAAGAGTAGAGTCTGTAACTGTTTGGCAGTCGACCTTGTATTAATTCTTCAGACAAGGGATTTTCGATATTTGGAATATGTTAGACACTATTTGAATGCTACGTTATTTTTTTATAGACGAAAAGTCAATACAAACAAATAGTAATAATGACATTAAAAATATACTTGAGTTTTTATTAACTGAAGTGGCCAAGCCGAATTGGACATTTTTTACGTAGAGATTTTTGCTTTTTATCTATACGAAGTAAAGAGCGAAAGATATGAGAACGAAATAGCGTAGTTTGCTCTTCCAGGAACTACAAAAGCCTACTAGACAGGCAACATTTTTTACGCCAATATGTCTTTTTGTTTTTAGCAGGATTCTTACGTTTTATCTTAACGAATCGAAGAGCGAAAGATTTGCTAACGAAATCTCGTAGTACATCTTTCACGAACTGCACAAACCTATTAAATCGGCTAATTAATATCTTAAAAATAACAGGTACATTGTCACTATGATTTTTAACGGTTATTATTATTAATTACTATGCATATTCCAAGTACGATTAATTGCGTATATTCGGAGTTCACTTTCACTGCTAACGGATGAGTGCGAGCCATAACAGATCACTTACTTCCGTTGTTTGTATACTGTTATACCATTATGTAACGAGAGTAACGATACAATAAACGATTTGTTTTCAATATACCAGTTTATCTACTTATCGGTTATTTTGTGTGGGAAAGATAGTATAAGAATTGGTTTTTATTAGATGATTCATTTTGATTGGCGACTTTTGCAATATATTATTTGGTTTGATTATTATAATGTGGAAATCCCTAGTTCATAATTATAATAATAACAACCTAGGACAATGCATGCAAATGGACATGCCATCTAGTTCCAAGTTGCAAAGTAAGCTGAGGTTTTACTATGGTTAGTAAACGATAAATATTTTAAACACTTTTTTTGTAAATAAATGAATAATGTGCATAGAAAGCACCCAGATTAATCAATTGTTTGTATTGTGGAGAAATCGAACCAGTGACTACCGGGAGTAAAACGGTGTGCTAAAACGCTAGACTACCAAGGCCGTCAATTATTTAATACATGAATAAAAAATATTTATTGCCAAAAGAATAGATGAGGAATTCTCGCTATGATTCCGTTAAATCTTTCTTATATAAGTCGGTAGTTGGTACAATACTATAAGTAGATATACAATTAATTACCTACCTATATTTTAATATTAATGATGTTCTATTTATATTGTTTCAGGTGAGACACTGACGAATATATTGCCTGTTTTTTATACCATTAAAAGTAAGTACCTAATTACCTCATAAATAAATAACCTTAAATATACCGACACTTATGTAGACCTAAACGAATGAATATAAACATTTGTATTGTGCAGGAATAGAAACCATAACCACCGGAAAGTAAGGCAGTAGGTATGCTAAACCGCTAGACCACCGAGGTCTCAATTTATAACCTAGTACAAGACTACTTCCGCATGGAATTTAACTTTTTCTTAAAATAAATGAAATTTCTATATATAGACATAGGTCTAAGAATCGGCTACTCAATAGTGAATATGCATATAAAATTTCATAAAAATCGGTTAAGCCGTTTCGGAGGAGTATGGTAACTGACATTGTGACATGAATTTTATATATTAGAGGACACTACAAACTCTCAAAGAAACTACACGTAAATCACAAAAATACACGTAAATCACGTCCTATCAGTGCCTATTCTTTCTGTAATATATAGAGTTTTAGTGCTACAAACTTTGCTAATTACAACTATTCTACACAAAACTTAGTTTTATAGTTGCTGTAAAGGAGCATTCATAAATTACGTCACACCATTAGCGGGGAGGGGAGCGACAAAGTGTGATGTCGTATAACAAGGGGGTAAAGGACTTATATTATATAAAAAGGAGTCCCACCGCTGGGAGGTCTTAGATTGTGTGGCGTCACTTTTCAAAAGGGAGGAGGTGTCACACACTTCATATAATAAGGAGCCCCACCGTTGGGTCTTAGATCGTGTGACGTCACTTTTCAAATTTAGACGCTGAAGATGTTATGTAATCACGCTGTGAGAAGTAAATATTACTGAAGTTGTTGTGATATAATTTATGGATCGCTTCTTATTTATTATCATCCTTTAAAAACAAAACACTATGACTAATAAGAGCCGAGCTACACTGAAAAATGTTGCATAAACGGGGACAATGTGTATCAATCGTCAAAATCGAAATTAGTTAGTATCTAACAGTTTCGGACCACCAAATGTTTTATCTATACAGTTCGGCTAAGTACTTCAGTTGTGATGTCCCAAAGTACCGCCTAATTGGTCTTATTCTTTTCTAACCATCTAGAGTACACTATTGAAATATCCACACATTTCATCGAAATTGATCCAACCGTCTAAAACGAGTTAGGTGTCAAACATATGATCATATAATAAATATAAGACAAGTCATCGATATACTATATTAGATGGATGTCGTAAAGTGTGCAATTGCGTTCCAATCACTTGATATCTGGCTCGGAGTTGCCTTACAAATTCATTGTCTTAATTGCATGTAAGGATACAGATGAAATATTGGATATGTGGATACTAAAGTGATTATACTGTATGTAGATTATTTAATAAATAACGTCATGAGTTTGTAAAAATGAAATGCAATTAATCTGTATTAATCTGTGTTTTATCTATGACCTGTGTCATAGATAAAAATAATAAACAAAACATTACACAATAATAAGTTCTGTAGCGTTGACTACATTCATCGATCATGGTTTCGTTTGGACCACAGATGATTAAATAATATTAATAATATAGATGTGGTGGAAATTAAATTACATATAAAAAAAACAATTTTCAATCTAATTTAATCTAATCTATTTTAATTTGAAATTGGAATATTAATTGAGATCGTTTTTTTTTCTATAAAATGTTATTACCTACACTGGACACAATAGGTTAATATATTATTTTAACAGTAGATTTCTAAACAGTCTCAAACAGTAATCAAGAAATTTACTTAAAATTGGAGGTATACAGATCAAGCAATATTTATATTTATTCTAACTTAAATCCTGCGAAAGAGTACTTGAAGACATTTATTTATTTTACTACCCAAATTTTTGGTAGAAGTCTTCTCTCAAATATTGAATTATAAACTATTTCTACCAAAATTTTCAGATACAGCATTCGTAGCACGAATCAATTATTTTATACATTACAATATCATATTATTATTTTCCTAATGACAAAAGCCACAACCAATTATTGTTATTGTACCATAATTACGGTTCAAAAAATCAATTCTCCATACACATTATTTCGAAGCACTTCAAGTCACGAGTGATGCGTACATTACATACGATTATCATTCGCTTACACGCAGGATTATTACGAAATCAACTATTCGATTGTCGATTCGATTATTCCCAATCGTGTGCGTGATTCTTTCATCCGTACGTTATCAGCACGTTCTTTTACAATCGATATAAATAATTATTTCGATAACGATTTTCAAACGTACTAAACTAATAATATATTTTTAACAGTTTTTTAGTCGATTGTTTTATAATCGAACTGGTTTACTCGTCTATTTTTTTTGTAAATAAAATTTATTACCTACCTCTACTAATAGAAACAATTATTTCAGTAGTCGAAAAACCTACTTATTGTAAAATGGTAATTATCACATATAGACATGAAAAACCATACCTTCTAACGTAGTAGGTATGTATACTATATATCAACAGAACTGCCCCCTAAAATTTCAAAATATGCTAAATATATGGTTTATATAAGTATATGCAGCCGTAATACATTCCAGATAAGCGTTCTTTCGCTGTAATATAAAATGGCCCTGTTTTTGTTACGGCTTCATTATATAATGTGGCTAATTCTACAAATTTGCTGCGACATCTATTTACCATTGATCAATGCAATTTCATGGAACACAGGTAATCATTTTTACATTAAACCGTACATTCATATGCAATACATTGAGTAAGATACAGATAGGTAACTTAGTGTAATTTGTATTTTACATAAGACGTTGCTAAGAAACCAGCGCATATGTCTCTATCTATACAATTATATTCACACTTTCATTTTTCGTAATTCGAGACAATAATGTGAGGTTCTATTGAAATTTTTATATAAAAGTCTTGTCCTGACCGACTTACTGGTCTATCAAAGCATAGGCCCGAGTCATTTAGAACAAAACATTTTTTATGAAACTGTGCAATGTGCATCCAACATTTTATAGAAATACGTTTCATCACTACCCACAGATGATTACAAGGACCAATGCGTATATTATTATTTTAATAAGAACAGTGGCGACTGTTAGTGATTATTTGCTCAGTGCTAAAAACATTCAAGATTGAAACCGCTGCCATTTTGATTGTGGCTTTATAATTCAGTCAGGCAAAGACCATAAGTCATACTGCCTAATCATGAGTTAACATTCTGAATTTATGTTCCTTTTATAAGAATTTACAAAAAATAATAATATTGTTTTATTAACCCGAATTTAAAATTCATTTTGTCTTATGCAATGTCTCCTCTCTCAAAATTATCTATTACAAATTAATGGTTTTGACATCACATTCCCTAAATCGCCGTTACCTACTGAAAATATACCTACATAAAAACATTATACAGAATTTTATATCCTTTTTGTCTAATAATAACGTATATAAAGAACTTTTTTATCCTGTCAATCCAGTCAAAAATCAGTTAATAGAATTATAAAATTTAATATAATTAAATTTCATCCAAACATAAACATTGGTTTACTCAAATAGAATAATCATATAAAATAATTAAAATTTTAATCGTACATTGTTCTCTGTTAGCTAATTCTAAATTTAAATTTGAATATAATTTCTTAATTATGTTATCGTACTTAGAAGAAGGAAATTAATAACGGAGCCCAGAACCTTTCAAATAAAAATCTTCAGAATGTTCAAGTTGATAGACATGCAATTAGAGTGTGCCCATAAATTCACATTAAATCGACTCCGATCCATCTAGCATGGTTCAAATTTAATTGAATACTAGCAACAAAGTAACGGAAGACTGTACCTAAGTACATATGGCCTTTAATCGTGACTACAATTCTGTTCGTTTGCTCTCTTATTCTAGAATCTATAATTTATGGATCTTTGAATACATTAGAAGCAAAATATTACTGTCAAATTCCATAGACTATTTTACAATATATTGCAAATGTGTGTATGATTACCATGATGAAAATGAATTTTTGATATGAATTAAAAAGTCAATATATATAAATATAAGTACCCCTTCACGACTGTTGACCCAAATGGTGCAGGCAGAAGTATTAAGAATTATCGATATCATGGTGAATACTACAACTTGTCTTGCCCACATTTAGCTGGTTATATTTGTAACCAACATAGCAGAAGGCCTCTTGCTGTCTCTCAGATAAATTTCGATTCGGTATTTAATTTTGGTGTTTTCACCTGAGATTTAGTCATAAATATAAATTAACAATGATATATACAATATTTCTTTCTTTGATTATGGAATGGTGCAGCTGCTAATTGTTTACGCTGGCAGGGCACCAGTTAGTCCATCTTGACAAATTCCAGGAACTTATCACGATGGTTTCCAGGGGGAATCGCGTGAAGGTCAACCGGACATGGTACATTGCTAGCAATGGAATCACATTACTAATAATCTCATTTCCCCCTATACGTATATTCTAAGAATTAATTGACTGCCAATCAACTTTTTTATAAGCTGTTTCTTTGGAAGGGTGAGATAAAGCAGTGAAATTTCAGGGCAAGAGGCATGCTATCTTAGTCCTCCGAAATTTAAACGCTTAAATACTATCACATAAGTCCGTAATACTGTTCATGTTTATAGACACTTACCACTTACCATCAAATGGTCCTAAACTTGTTTGCCATTTCAATAACATAAAAACCATTGACATATTGAATTATGTTTCAATTGGTCGTTAATTTAATTGTTATGTCAGAAATCTCTAGATTCTGTTTGTAGGAACAATTCTCACGCGCCGCCATCTTGACGATGCTGCACTGCAATTAGATAATTTTGTTTTAGAAAACAGTCTCACACTTTCTTCAAATTAATTATATTCATGTGAGCACTCGTCGACATTAACATTGTTCTAGTTTTAATAATCTTTTAGGTATACGTAGGGAATTATTATAAGTACATAAGTACCGTATTAACCTTCTCTCTTGTTTAATGTTTATAACCTCAATACCTGTTATAATACGAGAAATGACAAGTTCAAA